ATTGAACCCCAGTGGCTGCCAGAGCTGGCGCCGAACCTCTTCCAGCGCGCAGACCCGCAGAAGCTGTCCAAGCGGAGCCTCGGTGATGTGTTGGCCAAGTCTTGAGCCCCCCACCTCCCATTTCTTGGCCATGCCTTAAGGGGGTAGCCTCCCACCAGCTAAGATGGAAGTAGACCTATAGAAAGACTACTTTCCTCTTGGAAAGGGGTTTGTGCACTTTCATGTTGGTGGGAGGGCCCCTGAGTTTGAAAAGGGCCTCACAGTAAACAGCCATGGGAGGCGTGCTTGAAGAAGCCACTGAGCGATCCTGGAGGCTAAGGGTGTTTGGGGTACTCCGAGTTTGGGTTGATTATCTTTGTTTTCAAGGCCAAATTCTACCTTCTCTCTCTGGGGTCTAAAAAGCAACCCTGGGTATTTGCTTTTTGAGGCCCCCCCTTTGCTGGTTTGAAAGAGGGTTCCTTTCAAACTCAAAGACGAATCCTCCGGATGGCCTTTGAAGGTCCCCTTTTCCTTTGGCCTTGAACACAGGGTAACTTTACAGGGCACCCCTTGGCGGTTTCCCGAGAACAGCCAGCGATTTCAGGGTCGTGCCCCGAATCCCGAGGGGCAGCTCACAAGTTGGTCCTTGAGGTCCAAATCTGTCCAGAGATCCAGACCCCCTCTGCACGATGCCTAGAGTTGAACATCTGATATGTTTTCCTCTAAGGTTCCTTGGGGCCTTTGTGTGAAGGGGTCAGAGAGGCCTTGGATGTGCGCTTCTGGGTGCTTGACGAGCGAGCACCGTCCGCTTGTGGCATTTGTTTGGATACCCGGTTTTGAGTATGGGGGAAACGAGCCCGGTGAAGGCGCATTGCAGTGAGCACACGTTCGGGGCAGAGTGCTGCAGCGAGTCATGCTACGTCGAATTGATCTGCTTTCAGCGCCCAAGACCCCATCCATTTCATTCTCGGACATGCTATTTGGTGTCAGAAACTTGCAGTGAGGCCCTTTTGGTTGGCTTCAAAGGGACACCAACATGAAAATCGTTATTTTTGGGAACTCCCAACAAACAGACCACCCATAGAGTCTTTTAAAACCATGTAGGTAGAAGCAAACTTAATTTCCACGGATTTAGGAAGTGTTTTCAATTTTGGTGTTAGGTTCCGGTCCAACACTGAAGCAGCGAGGGTCGCGTTTTTGCATGACTCCGCACTGCTTGATGAGAGTACTGTGGATGGTTGCGAAATCCATTTCGCACCACGAAACGAAGCCATGGTTGAAACCAGAACGTTTGTTGGTATGTACAGGGGAATCGAATCATTCCGGTTTCTGAACGGTGGTGCAGGATTCTGTCCATTCACAGTATGTCAATGCGTGGACATTCCCCCACAATCTCTTCACCGAAAGAACGTTTTGAGGAATTGTGATTCTTCCTAGATGAGATGTTAGTGACAAATCGCGTTGAGTTTGTGATTCTATACTTGTCCAACAATCATGGAAGTGGACAGGGGGGTTCCTCAAGAAGGACATAGTCTTCCAATACCCTCCTGTCAGCTTCCATGATTTTTGAAGGAGGGGTAAGAAGCAGGCATTTCCCATGCTTGTGCGTTTGCTTGCAATGTTGGGGATGCCTGATGCCTGTATAGGGAAATGTGCTACAGAAAGGTCCCACCACGTTCCACCCTTTGCTGAATGGCTTTGTTTGGTACCCCGAAACCTCTTGGCCGCAAAGAAACGGCAGTCCACCTGGCAATTCCCAGCGCTCAGGAAGATGCGGGAGCGAATCGAGACGGGAGCCCGAGCACTCCATGTTTTTTTTTCTTCCGGAAAACTGCGCGTTTCTGTGGGTGGCCTGAAAGACAAGCACACTCAATTGTGTGTCTTTGGATCAGACATGGCAGGGTGCATGTCTGTGCGCCTCGAGTTTGTGTCACTCCCCAACATGATTCAGAGAACGCCTTGTTTTCCCATAGGTTGGTACCCTCCTCTTGGGGTTGGCAAGGGTTGCAAGTGCCCAGGGGAGTGTGCCATAGGGCACGTGCCCGGGCAGCGGGCGGCCACACCGGATTCGTTTGTGTGATTCGTATCGATGCTTCGGGGAATTGCTACTTTGTTTTTATCTTTCTTCCACACGCGTCCGGGTGCAGCGAGAGAGCATCAATTTCTGTATCAATGTCAAGCGGTGAACTGCAGATTGTCTAAACAAGCTTACATCAGAGAGGCCTGGATCAGAACAAGCGGCAACCCAGCATAGGATGGTCACCCCAGAATTAGGACCTTATGGTAACATGCTAAGGACACTGAACAGAAATGATGGAATGATGCAATGATACTTGTTGTTTGTGGAACACTTGTGATCCCATTGACCATAGTACATGCCTTGATCTACCAACACCCTAAACATGCATGTCTTTGGCTGGTCCTCCACAGCCCAACCAAGTTTCTTATCTAAGGACCCTACTTTTCAGGGTCCTACAACCCTGCGTGTTTTGTTTGTTTTGTTTCTATTTTGGGGGGTTCAATTCTCTGGAGAGACTAGATCTCCCTAGCCCATGTTTACTTTGGCGCATGTTGCTTGGATGTTAGGACTTTAACTTTTTGCCAACTAATGGGTTAATGGGTTTTCCGTATTTTTTACCACTAGAAGTTAAACACTTTTAGCCGGGGAGCAGAGTTCGCAACTGAGTTTTCTTCCAGGATCTCGGACTCAGGCCGCTCTACAACCGCTTCGAGGAGCCCAACGCTTGGCGTCTCTCGCGGCGCCGCTGCTGAGAGATCTCCGGTTTTGGCTCCGAGAGAACTCGCGGATGCCATGGACGCGGCTCCGACGGGAAAACAGATGTGCCAGTTGGCTCGGTTTGCAGAGATTCACCCATATCCCGCAACTCTCTCGGGTTTTTATAAGTACCTTGGTCAAACGGGTCAAAGTGGCATCCTCACTGACAACTCGGTCCCCCAGTAGTGCCCCTTTACCCTTTTTTGGCGGAGGGTTCTCCTACTACAACAGACTACACAAAGAGGGGAACCTTATTTTAAACTCTCTACTGGAGGTCCATTCATTGCCGTTTGTTTCCGGAGCCCAGGACCAAATGAGCCCCAACCCCGCCCCTCTTGGCCACTTAGGTGGTTCTATCTGGTTTAATAGAAAATTGCATTGAGGGCTACTTAAACCTTGAACCTTGATAAGCATCTTGGTATGGGCGCTGCTCAAATGAAGCTCTCCTTTGGCAGTCGCACTCAGCTCCGAAAGGGTCATTTTGCCGCGAAACGGCCGCCTTGCCCCCCGATTTCGGCTCAAGCCAGCGAACCAACATTGCAAACGCGGGGCGTGCAACTCCAAAACTCACCCTCAAACTACCCACGGAAAAATGGTTGACTTTACCCCCATCAAATTAAAGGCCGATATCCCCCTTTTCACAACGCCCTCCAAGAAGATTTTGGAATGAAGTAGTGCTAGGTGAAGGGGACCGACAGAGCTTGTCAATTGACTTTTCTTGGGTCATGTTTGAAGCTCAAGAGTGTTTTACGTGGCTTTTGGTGGAGGCTTTACATTTTCTTTTCGCTTGGATACCTACTTGTGCTGGTAGCAGTGGCAAGCACGCTAGGCCAAAACCAAAGCGACAGAGTTGAAATCCGGAGATCAAGCCATGCCACCTAAGAAGGGCAAGGGCGCCGCCCCGTCTCCGTCTCTTCAACGGCACCTCCGCGCGATGTGTTCGAACGGGGCCTGTGAAACTGGGCTGTTCGAAGGCAATCCTTGCTGGTGCTCAGGGAATGACCGAGACCGGGTGTTGGGAATGAACCTGTGCGGACTCCAAGAGCTATGTGCCATATTCCGGTGATGAAATATGATGAAGTAATATGACACTTAATCTGAACCATTTTTGAGTGTACCCCAGATGGAGGATTTGGCGAATTCCAAGTGGACCCCGTGGAGTTTGCCCGATTTGCGACTCGGCCCGGCGGCATCCTCTAAGTTTCTTTTTGTTTGGTGGGTTCCGCACTTAGCCCCAAAAAGAATGGATTTGTGTTGTTTTCTTGTCAGGGTACCCTTAAAAGGCTTGATGAAGATAAGCCAAAGGAAAGGCCGCGTTTTGTTGGCGAGTCTCGCGATTGTTCAGAGACGTTGGTCCCCTTTTTCTGCCATCACTGGTTGCAACTGGTCGCTGGTTAGCTGAATGGTTAGACCTTCAAGGGTACCGGGGGGTTGCGAACCACTTGGCCAAGTTGGCTTCACCTTTCAACGACACTGCTCCTTTGGGCCGCCAAACCGAAATGATCGACATGTCGAAATCGGCTTCTTCTTTTTTTTTCGGCGCGGGTCGTAGGCAGCCCTCAGAGGATGAGGACCTCACAGCGCTGGGGGTGCCTCTGGACGCGGTGGTGAAGGCAGGGAGTGGGGGTGGCTGGACATGGGTTAAAGGGGTGTGTGCTGGGGTAGGGGCTTTAGTGGCAACAGGAAGCTCAGACAATTGTTGGCCAATCACTGCGCTTTCTTTGGAGGGTCTTTCATCGGGGGGGTTGGAACATTTCTTGGGCGATGGTAGAATAAGTTTGCTTTTGGTGGTGACTCAGAGGGGGACGTGCAAGGAACCATTTGTTTCACTAAAAAGAGCAGGAGGGGCAAGAGGCAGGATGACAAGAGCTTTTGGGGACGGCCTGTTCTTGCTGGGGTGAGTGAGAGTTTGATTGACCCGTTTTGGTAGGATGCCAGTTGGTTGTACCTGTGTCTGGATGACTCGGCTAGACCTGTTTGGGGTACCGTTTTGCGTCAACCATGTGGATTGCGGAGAACTTGCCAATAGTCACTTTTCTGGCAAATGTGAAGCATGAAGGTCTTGTTGGTGGCATCAACGCAAACAACCCTTAAGAATGATCAGGCTCCTCCAAAAGTGGGCAGAGAATCAATGGAAGCCACCGGTAAATTGATGAAATTTGATGAGCCTGAGGGGACATCTAGTCCCATTAGCGCGAATGGTGAGCGTTCCGGCCAATTCCAGAGCCTAGTTCGATCAACGATCTGACTCTGCCACGCAAAGTATACAAAAGTTTGCCTGCTTCAAGGATTGGTCGGAATCACGAAGAGAGACCAAAGGCCGCTCCAGAGGTTCCAGTTGCTTTGAGAAAGTTCTGGGGGGCTCCCTGAAAAGATGTGCTAACAAGCTGATCTAAAATCTCCGGCCTGCAGAGTCGACTCAAAGATCGGGGGGGAGCTGATTTGAGTGTGGGTTGAAATAGGTGTGACCCCCCGGAAGCGGTGTTTTTTGGCTTCCCTGTAAATTGACGTGAGCATGGTAGGGGTCACTTCTGGGTGTGTCTTTTTTTGAGGGTACCCCTTTTGGTGGGTTTAAAAGGAAACCAACAGGAAAACCACCGAGCACCCTTAAAACAAAGACACGCCCATATGTCTCCCCAGCTGAAAGCTTCGCGGTCGATGGTCTCAGATAGCTTCCCGGGTTTCAAGTCGCCCCCATGGCTCCTGACGGAAACCCGGGTTCCGGATGGGTTGCTGTTGGGAATACCTGGCCTTGTTGATTTTAGGGTGGACGAAATTTGGCCCAGAATCCAAGCAGATTCTTCGTGCAGGCTGGGCCAAGATTCAGAAGGGCTTCCACCCGCAAACTGCCCCATGGGAGATCGGTCTAACACGGGGTGACTTCCCGTTTGGGTGTGCGGTAAAATAGGGGACCTGACCCTCTCCATTGAAAGCAATCCCGAAAAGGGTACCTTCAAAAAAGACAGAACCGCTTCTCTGGGTAATTACAGCAATTGACATGGACCCGCTTTTATGGCTACAGCGTCCTTTGGGCATGTGAGAATAGGCAGACCAAGCTTTTTTTAAAATTATTCTTTGAGTGATGTTCACAAGGCCTTTGTCGGGGCATCTGAGCTTGACAGAAGAACCTGTATTTCGTTCACAAGGCCCCTCTCTTTGGGCATCTGAGCTACTGACCAAAAATCCTGAGGTGTGGTGCGTGCACAGCACCCCGAACTTCTCCCTCCCCTGGCAGAGCCCCGGATCGATGTGATCGATGATCGCGGCTTCGGGGTGACTGGGGCCGGGAAGTGGCACGAAGTGGCTGCGATAGGCAGGGAATGAGAAATGGAATGAACCAACACATTCCCTGAAAGGAACCACCAGTTGGATGGTTTGTAGGGCGCATTCCCTCATTCCTGAGAACCAGCAAGTTAAAGGGGGGTTTGCTATTTGACAATGGCTTGCCAGTGAGGTTTTTTCATTAACTGCTGTGAGTCGGCAGAAAACGAGTCCACTAAGCTGCAAGAGCAGTTTGGCAGAAGGCATTGTTGGGGGGACCAGTGTCAAAGAAGTGAGACGTTGAACAGAGAACAGGCTATGAAACAATTACTGTCGAAGGTCACCTGTGACAGTAACCATTTTCAGTTGACACTGCAACCATCTTGTTTGTACAAAGGCTGAAGAGCACACATGACTCTCCCAAGATCATGGGACAACTTGGTTTAACAGTACCCTACCACCCCTGTCAATGCATGAAGGCATCATGTTTATATGAATTGGCGTCAAGGAAGCATTGGTTTCACAGTCTTGGAAGCAGTTGGCATAGGACATTGAGGAACCAGCCAGAACATGAATGAGTGAAGTCGCTGCTCAACCAACTATTTGGTCTTGGGATCGCTGATGGAATGACTGATAAAGGTCAATGTGTGCCGCTTTGTTGCGCTCTCTTGCTGTTTGCGTGTGGTCATGCTTGTCCCTGTGTTGGCCTTGTGGCAGTTTGCAAGTTGTTTCTATCGTGACATGTTGTGGAGTTGCGGTTTAGTGTGGGCGCATGGCTGCGTATCCTCAGCAGCCCACCATGTATTGGGCTGGGCGCCTTGGCATCGTGGTGTATGTCCACGGCGTCCCAAACAGACTGCGGGCAAGTTGAGTGATGCTCCTTGCACTGCGCTGCATCCATATTCCTAGCCCTGTAGGTGTTTGGTCACCGACAAGGGCAAACCATGGAGGCATCATGTTCATCATGTTACATGACTTGTCGTGAAGGAAGCATTGGTTTCACAGTTCTGGAAGCAGTTACAAAGGACCTTGCGGAAATATCATGAAGGAGTGAAGCCGTTGGTGCGCCAGTCGTTCTGTTTCTTGAAGGCTTGGTCGAACTGTTTGGTCTAGGAAACCGACACAATGACTGACGTGTCTCAAGGCGTGCCCATTTGACTGTGGCCTGTGGCGCTTGTCAAGTTGGTCTCTTTTGGCATGTTGCGCAGATGGCAGATGATTGTGGACGCATGGCTGCGTATCCTCAGCAGCCCAACCATGTGTTGGGCACCTTGGCATCGTGGTGTATGTCCACAGTGGTGGCGTCCCAAACGGACTGCGGGCAAGTTGAGTGATGCTCCTTGCACTGCGCTGCATCCATATTCCTAGCCCTGTAGGAGTTTGGTCACCGACAAGGGCAAACCATGGAGGCAACATGTTTATATGACTTGTCGTGAAGGAAGTATTGCTTTCACAGTTCTGGAAGCAGTTGGCATATGACCTTGCGGAGTCATCATGAAGAATTGAAGCCGCTGGAGCGCCAGTCGGGCTGTTACTTGAAGGCTTGGTCGAACTGTGTGGTCTAGGGATCGCTGATAGAATGAATGATGTATCTCAAAGCGTGCCGATTTGATTGTGTGGCCCTGTGGCGCTCGTCAAGTTGGTCTCTTTTGACATGGTGCACAGCTTGCAGATGATTGTGGACGCGTGGCTGCGTATCCTCAGCTGCCCACCATGTGTTGGGCACCTTGGCATCGTGGTGTATGTCCACAGTGGTGGCGTCCCAAACGGACTGCGGGCAAGTTGAGTGATGCTCCTTGCACTGCGCTGCATCCATATTCCAAGCCCTGTAGGTGGTTGGTCACCAACAAGGGCAAACCATGGAGGCAACATGTTTGTATGACTTGGCGTGAAGGAAGCATTGCTTTCATAGTTCTGGAAGCAGTTTGCATATGACCTTGCGGAGTCATCATGAAGGATTGAAGCCGCTGGTGCGCCAGTCGGGCTGTTACTTGAAGGCTTGGTCGAACTGTTTGGTCTTGGAATCACTGATGGAATGACTGACAAAGGTCAATGTTTGCCGACTTGCTGCCCTTTGTTGCTGTGTGCGGCTGGTTGTGCTCGTTTGTTGCATGGTGACAGGTTGTAGAGTTGCGGATAATGTGGGCGCGTGGCTGCGTATCCTCAGCAGCCCACCATGTGTTGGGCACCTTGACATCGTGGTGTATGTCCACAGTGGTGGAGTCCCAAACGGACTGCGGGCAAGTTGAGTGATGCTCCTTGCACTGCGCTGCATCCATATTTCTAGCCCTGTAGGTGTTTGGTCACCGACAAGGGCAAACCATGGAGGCATCATGTTTGTATGACTTGGCGTGAAGGAAGCATTTGTTTCACAGTTCTGGAAGCAGTTGGCATAGGACCTTGCGGAGTCATCATGAAGCAGTTCTTGGGCAGGTGCGCCAGTTGGGCTGTTACTTGAAGGCTTGGTCGATCTGTTTGGTGTTGGGATCGCTGATGGAATGACTGATTTATCTCAAGGCGAGCCCATTTGATTGTGTGGCCCTGTGGCGCTTGTCAAGTTGGTCTTTATTGTCATGTTGTGCAGCTTGCAGATGATTGTGGACGCGTGGCTGCGTATCCTCAGCAGCCCACCATGTGTTGGGCACCGTGGCATCGTGGTGTATGTCCACAGTGGTGGCGTCCCAAACGAACTGCGGGCAAGTTGAGTGATGCTCCTTGCACTGCACTGCATCCATATTCCTAGCCCTGTAGGTGTTTGGTCACCGACAAGGGCAAACCATGGAGGCATCACGTCTATATGACTTGGCGTGAAGGAAGCATTGGTTTCACAGATCTGGAAGTGGGCACAGGACCTGGAGGAACCAACATGAAGGAGTGAAGCCGGTGGTGCGCCGGTCGGGGTGCTACTTGAGGGCTTGGTCGAACAGTTTGGTCTAGGGATCGCTCATAGAATGACTGACGTATCTCAAGGCGTGCCCATTTGATTATGTGGCCCTGTGGCGCTTGTCAAGTTGGTCTCTTTTGACATGGTGCACAGCTTGCAGATTGTGGACGCATGGCTGCGTATCCTCAGCAGCCCACCATGTGTTGGGCACCTTGGCATCGTGGTGTATGTCCACAGTGGTGGCGTCCCAAACGGACTGCGGGCAAGTTGAGTGATGCTCCTTGCACTGCGCTGCATCCATATTCCTAGCCCTGTAGGTGTTTGGTCACCGACAAGGGCAAACCATGGAGGCATCACGTCTATATGACTTGGCGTGAAGGAAGCATTGGTTTCGCAGATCTGGAAGCAGTTGACATAGGACCTTGAGGAGCCAACATGAAGGAGTGAAACCGCCAGTGCGCCAGCCAGGCTGTTATTTGAAGGCTGGGCCGAACTGTTTGGTCTAGGGATCCGATAAAAAGACTGACGTATCTCAAAGCGTGCCCATTTGATTTTGTGGCCCTTTGGCGCTTGTCAACTTGGTCTCTTTTGACATATTGTGGAATTGCAGATGATTGTGGACGCGTGGCTGCGTGTCCTCAGCAGCCCACTATGTGTTGGGCACCTTGGCATCGTGGTGTATGTCCACAGTGGTGGCGTCCCAAACGAACTGCGGGCAAGTTGAGTGATGCTCCTTGCACTGCACTGCATCCATATTCCTAGCCCTGTAGGAGTTTGGTCACCGTCAAGGGCAAACCATGGAGGCATCATGTTTACATGACTTGGCGTGAAGGAAGTATTGTTTTCACAGTTCTGGAAGCAGTTGGCATATGACCTTGCGGAGACATCATGAAGGATTGAAGCCGCTGGAGCGCCAGTCGGGCTGTTACTTGAAGGCTTGGTCGAACTGTTTGGTCTAGGGATCGCTGATAGAATGAATGATGTATCTCAAAGAGTGCCCATTTGATTGTGTGGCCCTGTGGCGCTCGTCAAGTTGGTCTCTTTTGACATGGTGCACAGCTTGCAGATTGTGGACGCATGGCTGCGTATCCTCAGCAGCCCACCATGTGTTGGGCACCTTGGCATCGTGGTGTATGTCCACAGTGGTGGCGTCCCAAACGGACTGCGGGCAAGTTGAGTGATGCTCCTTGCACTGCGCTGCATCCATATTCCTAGCCCTGTAGGTGTTTGGTCACCGACAAGGGCAAACCATGGAGGCATCACGTCTATATGACTTGGCGTGAAGGAAGCATTGGTTTCACAGATCTGGAAGCAGTTGACATAGGACCTTGAGGAGCCAACATGAAGGAGTGAAACCGCCAGTGCGCCAGCCAGGCTGTTATTTGAAGGCTTGGCCGAACTGTTTGGTCTAGGGATCCCTGATAAAAAGACTGACGTATCTCAAAGCGTGCCCATTTGATTTTGTGGCCCTTTGGCGCTTGTCAAGTTGGTCTCTTTTGACATATTGTGGAATTGCAGATGATTGTGGACGCGTGGCTGCGTGTCCTCAGCAGCCCACTATGTGTTGGGCACCTTGGCATCGTGGTGTATGTCCACAGTGGTGGCGTCCCAAACGAACTGCGGGCAAGTTGAGTGATGCTCCTTGCACTGCACTGCATCCATATTCCTAGCCCTGTAGGAGTTTGGTCACCGTCAAGGGCAAACCATGGAGGCATCATGTTTACATGACTTGGCGTGAAGGAAGTATTGTTTTCACAGTTCTGGAAGCAGTTGGCATATGACCTTGCGGAGACGTCATGAAGGATTGAAGCCGCTGGTGCGCCAGTCGGGCTGTTACTTGAAGGCTTGGTCGAACTGTTTGGTCTTCGGATCGATCATGGAATGACAGATGTATCTCAAGGCGAGCCCATTTGATTGTGCGGGCCAGCGGCGCTTGTCAAGTTGGTCTTTATTGTCATGTTGTGCAGCTTGCAAACTTGCAGATGATTGTGGACGCATGGCTGCGTATCCTCAGCAGCCCACCATGTGTTGGGCACCTTGGCATCATGGTGTATGTCCACAGTGGTGGCGTTCTAAACAGACTGCGGGC